CTTTTTGACTAATTTTCAGAAAATTGGCAGCCATTTTTAAAAAACATATTTTTATTATTTGATTAAAAAACAAACAAACTATTTTTAAGACTTGAATGTTAAATTGTAAATGTTATACAATTTTTTATTTATTTGTCACTTGACATTTAAAAAATTTTTAAAAAAGTTTTATAGTTGATAAAATATATTTTATAAAAATATTTATAAGTATATATATATATATATATATATATATATATATATATATATATATATATATATATATATATATATATATATATATATATATATAAAACAGTATGAGGTAAGCAGGCTTTGTGAGAAAAAAAAAATGCTTGAAAGTTTTTGAAGTTCCAAGTTTTATCTTTTTATTATTAGATCTTCATAATTTTTTATATTAATTATTATATTTACTTTTATATTTTTCTTTTGTTTTTTGTTTTATTTTGTACTCAGGAATTTCAAAGTTGTGTTCATTAAATTTAAAAATTGTCTGAATTTTATTCTGCATTTTTTTTTTGTATACTTGTATTGTAACTTCATTAAATATTTTTATGGAGGATAAATATTTACTTGGTTACATATTATTAACTTATTATTAAGTTATTATTAAGTTGATAAACAAGTTTATTATTGATTACAACAGTTTTATTATTGAAAGACTTCCAGGAATGTACTACTGTGACTGGTACTACTGTGAATAAAATGTATAAACAGCTACAAAAAAGTATTTTAGGAATTATAATTAGTATATTCAAACGACTATTTGAATATATTACATTATATAAATAATAAACTGAAGTGTTCACAAATTTCTATTTTTACAGATTTAAATGTTTTATATTATTAATTTTTCATACAAATGTTGATGTATATCTTTAAAAACTGTGTTTCTCTCATTAATATTCATTAATATCTCTCATTAATATTCATTAATATTTATATGTGGCATGTTCAAAAACAAAAACAATGTGTAGTTTGTTTTTCAAAGTTGATAAACATCTAATACAAAGTAACAAATATACTTTGTATGAGGTTATAGTAATCTGATACAAGATATCAGATTATTAAAAACCTTGATGCTTGTGTTAAGGTTATCTAAGTAAAGCTATGATCGAATCAGGGATGCGGAGTCCCAAAAGAACTCCGGATTTGTATGTCACCAAAAGATTAATTTAAGTATTGTGAATTTCAAAATAGTTATCACAGATGTAATGACTTGCAAGAATGCTCAGTTTTATGGCTTTTTATGGTTTCATTTTATTTCTGAAAATTTGCATTTTGATTATACCTCTATTTCAGAAATTAAATTTATTCAAATTGATTAATATATTTTTTTAGACTTGGATTTCATTTATATTGTTTCAATATATTTTTCTATAACCTTTGTAAAAAAGATAAGATATTCAAAATATGAAAATAATTTATTTGTATTAGTTTTTATAAATATTACCTGTTATAAAAATATCAATAAGATGACACCTTTCTTAATGTTTTTTTTTTTTTTTTTTAAATAAATTAAGGTGTAGATGTATATAGTAGTTCTATTGGTTTAAGGCTAATTGATTATATTGGTTTAAGAATAAATTATTCTATTGGTTTAAGATTAAGTTAAGGTTAGATATTTAATCCACAACATATCTAAAGCTAGGCTTTAGATATGCTGTGTTCAACATATCTAAAGCCTAGGTTCAACAAGTTATGCAAATTACATTGTGTGTAGATTTATGAGAAATAGAATTTACAAATTGAATGAAAATAGAACATGTATAATAAATTAATAGGACAGTAGTAATTTTTGTTTTTTAGGTATTGGCAGGCTGTACTTGACGACTTACTTTCCTGCAACGAAATTAAAAGAACCTTTAACTACAAACCAATTTAAAATAATTTTTATAGCAATATTTTCTAAGAAGAATTTTTCCCTTTATTTTATTTACTAATTGGATTACTTATACTTCATAATTGCTTTAAATTATTTTTTGGAGATTCTTTAATTTTAGTGTTTTACAAAGTTTTAAGTTTAAAACATTATTTTACATATAGATTTTTTCAGTTTTTTGGTAATTAATTTTTATTCAGAAGTACAATTATAATTGGAGTGTCCAATTTTTGTAATATTTTTTTTTGCAAATATTAATTTGATATCATGTTATCAATGTGAAAGTATTATCTTAAGATATAATTTAAAAAATGGTAGGATGAAGTACGCTTTGCTTTCTTGTAAATAAAAGTCAATTTTAGCGCAAGACATATGTAGCGATAAAAACCACTCGCAAAAACTTTCAATATTAATTGGTCTATTAAAATTTTACTAGTATTTTTACATGGTTTCCATTTACTATGACTGTAATTGCGCAAATCGGCAATCGGGAGATTTTTGAACGAAAATTAACCACAGATACAAGACTATCTTTTATCCCGCTACTTAACATAAGTATGCTAAGTTATTTCTATTATATTTATTTTACATCTAAGTATGCTAAAACTTGGTGTAATTTTATTATATATATATATATATATATATATATATATATATATATATATATATATATATATATATATATATATATATATATATATATATATATATATATATATATATATATATATATATATATATATATATATATATATATATATATATATATATGTAAAGGAAAAAGAAGCCAAGCAAAACAACAATATTCAAAAAATGAATCAATTTTTAATATATAAAAATACTACTAAGAAAATATTAAATAGTACTAGAGGCCTTTCAGTATTGATCATCAGTAGTACTATTGCAAATGTAATTATCCATTTATAATTACAATTGCAATAGTACTACTGATGATCAATACTGAAAGGCCTCTAGTACTATTTAATATTTTCTTAGAAGTATTTTAATATATAAAAAATTGATTCATTTTTTGAATATTGTTGTTTTGCTTGGCTTCTTTTTCCTTCATATTGTTTTAAATAAATTGGTTGCTATATATGTATATATATATATATATATATATATATATATATATATATATATATATATATATATATATATATATATATATATATATATATATATATATATATATATATATATATATATATATATATATATATATATATATATATATATATATATATATATATATATATATATATATATATATATATATATATATATATATATATATATATATATATATATATATATATATATATATATATATATATATTTGTATTCCCCTTCTTTTTTAACGTTATGTAGGTGCTCCCAGAAATCCTTAGGGTCTTATTACGGAGTACCGCAGGAGAGCATTTAACTAAAAGTTTACGCCTCCTTCCTTCCCGATGTCGCTTATTGGGCTAGAGTCGGTGTCGAACCTCAGACCTCTAGGTTCTGAGCCAGAACTCTAGCAACTGCGCCGCGGCTGCTCCGTGATATATATATATATATATATATATATATATATATATTTATATATATATGTATATATATATACATATATATATATATATGTATATATATATACATATATATTTCTATATATATATATATATATATATATATATATATATATATATATATATATATATATATATATATATATATATATATATATATATATATATATATATATGTATGTATATATATATATGTATATATATATATATATATATATATATATATATATATATATATATATATATATATATATATATGTATGTATTATATATATATATATATATATATATATATATATATATATATATATATATATATATATATATATATATATATATATGCATACTTAGTGTGCTTTTTTTTTTTTTTTTGTGCGCCCTGTGTACTATACTAATGCTCGTGGTTTAACTGTTATGCCATCGTTATAAATGAAAAAATTTAAAAAATAAAAATTAAAAGAAATTGAAATCCTCATGAAAAGAAACGCAACAAATATTTACTTAAGTGTAAAACACGTAGGACATTTACTTAGGAAAAAAAAATCCAAATCGCATCAATTTAAAATTGGTATTGAATAACAACCAACAACTATTCTGCGGTGGATTTAAAAAAGAGTCTAAGAAAAGTCATGCACAAGGCGTATTTGACAAAGGATTTGTTTGTAAAGTGTATTAAATTTTTGAAAACACAAAGTGACAATGGCTATATTTGATGGAAGATTATATTAGATAGAATAAAGAATGTCAAAAATTTACAAAACCAATAATATTTGTATTTTACAAAATCCATAACTATAAACGTTTATCTTCCCCATGTGTTTCATATAACCTACAACAATTTTTTTAAATTAGTATTAGAAAATATAACATCAAAGGTTTGTAAAAAAAACCATCACAATATTGTAAGTATGAATTATAATTTTCTCAAAAAATTAAAACTTTTAAATAAGCTGATTGTATCATAGAGTTAATGAATATATCATCTTAATTTTATTTACACAATTCATTTTTAAATGTACCTTTAGAAATTGTGTCACCAAAATAGTTATAGTGTATATTATAAAATACAGAGAGATTGTTATAGTTACTTTAAAGTCGCTTCGTTTTTATAAAGTCGCTAAAATGTTCGCTGTTTATTTTTAATTAAAAAGTCGCTTTTAAACAATTAAAACAGGAACATATAATGTAATTCACAATTTCAGCCGAAACATATGTACTGTCGCAACAAGTTTCTTTTTAGATTTTATCATTCTACTCGTTCACTGTTAAATGGTTTAGTATAATAAAAATAAGTTTTTTTATTTAAAAAAACACAGATAGTATGAAAAAATATATTTATATATAGAAACAATTTAATCCGAAAATGTAAAGAAATACTTGCTAAAAACACAAAAATTGGTTTGTATTTTTAAATATTTTTATAAAAATTTTAAATGTTATTTTTACTTTATATTTTATGACGTGGTCTCTTATTTAAAACAAACCATTTTATACCAAAGAAGGTTTTAATTTCAATCTTCTATCAAAAATCATTGCCAGTTGGACAGCGTGGAATGTAAAAGATATGATTTTTGGTGATGCAGCATAATGCAAAGTTGCCAACACACCTGCTTACGTACCTACTCAGTTGTCAGCATTGCCATGTTTTACGGCGACACCAAAGAGACTTTGCAGATAATCGATTACTGTAAGACAACTACATTGACCAAAATCTTTCTATTTTTTCTTTAAGTTTTTTTATTTTGTATTGACAAGTTTTTGAAAGCGCACCCGGAATCAGTGCCTTACATTGCCAAAACTTTTTTTCTTGTCTCATAAAAAGTCATATCGCAGTTTTTCACATGCCAATAGGTCTTGAAAACAAATAAACCTTGCACCTGTACACTCAACTGACTGTAGACCCTTAATATTTACAAATGTGAAATCTTCAAACCTAATGGTATTTACAAATGTAAAAGATTCTCTATTGAATATGATTTGTAGGACTTGTTTTCATAAAATCTTTTTTGAAAAAGCAGTATTAAAAAACCTGTTTATTGGTTTCATATCCAAAAACTAAAAATATCTAGCATCTATCGACAATGCAGAAAAGAAACTAAAAACAAAATAATGCAAAAAAGAAATTCAAACAAAAAAAATTTGTCAGCATGTAACATT